CATTACCAACAGAACCAGTTCTATTGCCGTAGCAACTATGAATAACCCATATCCTGATTTGACGGCACAGGCTGTAGTAATAAAAGGAAAATCATCAAAATTTACTGTTTTACTTATATGGTCATGAATGTTAAGCAATAGTTTTAAATTTCTCAAGTAAATTTTTACACTTAACTCAGAACAAGAAGGTGCTGAACAGTAAAGTATAAAGTTCACACAAGTAAAGTTCGAAGCGAGACGCGAGATGTATTTGTAGTATAAAATATAAAATTGTTTACATCATAGTATGCATGTGACAAAATGAAAGTTTCGACCTTTCTCAATAAACCATTTCAAGTTCTACCTTTTCGCAATTATCCAATCATTTGATTTCCCCTTCGACCCATTGCACAATTCAGTTATTTGTCATCGACTACTGTATAAGCTACCTTTTATTTTTGTCCAAAAACACTAATACAACCGTCACTCAGCCGGTTATATTAGTGTATTTTCTGCATACCCTTCCGAAGCACCTCAGATAACCCCCGGTTTATGATGGGGTTCGTGTTGCTCAGTCTTTAGTTTTTCTATGTTGTGTTTTATGTACTGTTGTTTGTCTTTTGGTCTTTTTCTTTTTTTGCCATGGCCTTGTCAGTTTATTTTCGACTTATGAGTTTAAATGTCCCTTTGGTATCTTTCGCCTCTCTTTCAGAAAGACGCGTTTGTAAAAATGCCACAAGATATTGATTAAAGAAAGAACATATTCAATTTTATTTTTAAATTTAATTTTGAATTCGGTATTTGTAATTATATGTTACTACTATTTGTCCAGCGAAACTGCTAATGGACTGTCGAGATCAATAACCTGCGATCATGCGTTTGTACTGTCATGGTATTACAGACCCCTCCGAGAGAACCACTAGACTGTTACCATGCTTTTGTTCGGCTACGCCTAGAGAATAACTAGCCTGGTACCATGCTTTTGCACGGGTACTATACAGCCTCCGCCGAGAGTAGAAGCACTAGCTTGATACCATGCTTTGAACGGGCACGATTCAGTCACCGTCGAGATTATCACTAGCCTGATATCAAGCTTTTGTACGGACATGATTCAGTTTTCGCCGAGAGTATCACTAGCAGGGTATCATGCATTTGTACGGGCACGATTCAGTCTCCGCCGAGAGTATCACTACCCTGGTATCATGCTTTTGTCCGAGAACAATTCAGTATCCGCCGAAAGTATAACTAGCTTGGTATTAAGCTTTTGAAAGGGCACGATAAGTCTCCGCCGAGTGAATCACTAGCCTGGTATCATGCTTTTGTCCGAGAACAATTCAGTATCCGCCGAAAGTATAACTAGCTTGGTATTATGCCTTTGAACGGGCACGATAAGTCTCCGCCGAGTGAATCACTAGCCTGGTATCATGCTTTTGTACGGGCACGATACAGTCTTCGCCGAGAGTATTACTAGCCTGGTATCATGCTTTTGTCCGAGAACAATCCAGTATCCGCCGAAAATGTAACTAGCTTGGTATTATGCTTTTGAACGGGCACGATAAGTCTCCGCCGAGTGAATCACTAGCCTGGTATCATGCTTTTGTACGGGCATGATACGTCTCCGCCGAGAGAATCACTAGCCTGGTATCATGCTTTTGTACGGGCACGATTTAGTCTCCGCCGAGAGAATCACTAGCCTGGTATCATGCTTTTGTACGGGAACGATTCACTTTTTGTTTTGGTAGTTTTTTTTGTCGGTTTTTGTTGTTGTGATCTTAAGCATATTCTTTTAAATAATTTGATATTCTGAAGAATAAAAACACTGTATCAAAACACTGATAGTGCATGCATATTACCGAATATTAACGTGTGTCATCTACCTGAAATGCGTTAGAGCGCCGACACCGATTAAGAACCTCTGATTAGGTTAAGTTTATACTTTTTTATCTTTATTTATACTGAATGTTTTTGACATTTGCTATTTTTATAGATATTAGTTAATAGTCTATTTCCATAATCCAAAACAGCTTCATCATTTATGGACCTGTTACATAAATTGCGTATAGTTTGGTAAGAAAGGATGAATAGTTGCATGGTAGTTCCCGCAAACTTTGATATTTAAAAAAAAGTATTGAAATATTGTACTTTCCTTTTATTCAAGGAAGTAAATGAATTACAATAATCTATAGGAGATAGTAGATAATCGAGAACCACATTTTATCGTGTGAGCAAGTAAGAAAAAAAATTGATAAAGAATGGACACTCCAGGTAAAAATACATGACAAAAAAAAAGGGAGGGGGACAAGATAGGATAACAATTTGAACCTTAAGCTTGAATTTCTAGCTAATCTTATTTGCATTCTATTGTTTCTGATTTAGCAACACCTGCTATGGTCTGATTTAATGCATACCCAATCAGAATATCGAAATTCCAGGAGAATTCTAATAACGTAGTACACGTATTATCGAAGTCAAGATGTTCTTAAACACAATTAAAAATCACAAGATTGATAAATAACTGTCAAATCCTTAACTTGACAAACTAACGTTTATAAGGTAAAATGATAGTTTTCGTTTGAGGAAACAAGATAAGATTGTATGAGATTGTTTTGTTGAATATTTTGTTACTTATATATATATAATATGGTTTATTTAGTGTCAAATATTTGGTCTTAGGCACAAATAGGCGCTTGGGGCATGGTCATTGGACCCCTTATTTCCATAAGATCGTCAATTGTTGCTAAACCAGTAGCCTTAAAATATTCAATACCTTCCCCTTCCGCAAATAGACACGAACTCTCTGTTCACTATATGGTCCGAGAACACAGTTATTTCGTAGTGCATTTCTTTTAGACAATAAATTCAAATTAAAAAAATCGCACCTGCTCTATCGCAAAAAGATTTTTACGGTGTAGTGTACTACTATTGGGACAAATTATATCAAAATTATAGAAAAGTCTACCAGCTCTAACTCAAAATATTGACAATTCTATGTTAAGGGGGTCTAAAATTCAGTTTGACAGTTTCAGACATACTAGTTTTTGACCTTTTTTAACTGGGCCATATCACTACTTAACATAAAGATTCAGTACCCAATTTTTTTGAACATGTAATTTCATCCCCTTACTTAATATTTCATGCATAAAATATAAAGAAATAAATTTGGAAAGTATATGAAAAAAATTTGCAAGTTATACACTGTCCACACTAGGGACTATATTTGTCTCATTAATCCCCGGTCCCTCCTTCATGCAGAAAACAATATGAAAATATGAACTGATATTACATGACATCGTACCTTTATTATCACTTGTTAATGGGTTCTTGTATATAATTCCAATACTTATATCAGATATGGCAAGCAAAATCATAGTTATTATATCCAATATTAGACTAGCGATCCCTCTTCCTAACAGAATCCTTTTCTGGAATGGATTTAAATTTGTGTCCATGATTTCTTCTCATTTTACATTACGACAAATGTGTTATTTATCTGTGTTGAATGTTTCCGATTACTTGATGTATGTATAAATGACTATTCATTTCCGAAACGGACATAATCGACCCATAAAAATTGTTTCTTGTTTATAAGATTTCTTTAATTGTATTATACAAAATGCAATATATAGAAAGCTGATGTTGTACGATACTATTCACTGAATTATATATAAAAAATTAGAGGATATAAAGGGGACAATCGAAAACAGCAGTACATACAAAAACATTAGATATTCTTTATCTATGTCAATAGGTATTTAAAATAATTCATAGGTTGTCGTTGGATGTTGTAACTCCAAGTAATTGTTTTATGAATTTTAAGACACACGAAGGCTTTATGCAGAACTTCAGATCATTACAATATTTTATTTGAGAACTATATATCACTTCTTTTACTATAAACTAACTATAAGTGGTGTCCCTTTGATCTAAGACTGGGCATAATGTCCAGTGGCAAATATATCAGGCGAATTCAGAATCAAGTGGAAACAAACCTAGCATATTAAAAATGGAAAAAAATGGCTATTTATGTTTATTTTTTTAATAACATACAGAACGATAAAACAATTTCCAAAACTACGAAAATAAATCGAGCCAATTCACTAATCCAAGTTACATTTAATATTGTTTTCGATGGGAAGTCAGTATTGAGAATTTGAATTTGAAGGCTTATGCTGAGGGATTTATTATCGATTACAGTTGCATATAAAGATAGCTTGTATGACGTATTGGTACACTGTAGGATTAGAAATATTGCATGAAAGCGCATTTTAATCAGTTACAATATCTTAAAACATTAATGGTTTTATTTGTAGTCAGTGCGAGTAACATTCTCCCTACTATATTTTCAAAATCAGATGTAAAAAATGTGTGTTGATTCATCTGATATAACATTTGTCATAACTTTTATTTCTACAAATGAATAAGTTTACCTGCTTAGTTCTGGGCTTTTACTTTATTTTCGAATGTCTGGTTTAGTTTATTCTCGAAATGTCAATTCTAACTTATTTACTATAGATTGGTTGGGAATTCTTTTTTTCTAGCAAAATACAACAATTTACTCTTTTTTTATCAGTACAGTACTTGTTATATGCAAACAAAAGTATTCTAGTAAAAATTATCATTTTAGAAAAACAATTAAGCAATAGTTCATGGTTACCTGAAGCCCAATACCGTACAACAACAAAACAACATATCATATTCTCCCTACGATTAAATAGTTTGGAAACCATTGCTCAGTGCTATGAAGTACCATTCAAAAATGTCCGTTCCTTACCAAAATATATATGTTTTGACTAGAATATTACAAATTTATGATTTAAGTGTTATTGTAACAAAAGTTCTCAATCTTAATAGCTTGTAATCTCTTTGGTTAAATGATCACGTTATTCTCTTGACTATGAATCCTCGGACTTTATCATACTAATTTTAGGTAATAGGTCGTTACAAATCATATTCTCCCAACAATACCAATCGTAGTCTCGTGATTATTGATTCGGACAAGAAATAACTTGTATTATCGTTTAGTTTATTTATGACGTAGGATGAAAGTGTATATATATACTCAGATGTATGAAACATTGAATCATAATTCGACAGTAAATCCGAGTACTGACGACAAACTGAAACTGTTAAAAAGGTAAAATTAATTTTTAGTAGAAAATTTAAAAGAGAAGTGGGGTATGGGTCCCTGTAGTTTCACCCTCTTTGCAAAGACTAAATTTGTATTGATTAAGTTGTACCATATCTTTTTTTATAGTCGGATTTTTTTTCTACCCGATGACAACAGCATTTCAGCTCGATGCATTTTGACTTTTCTGTAAGTTTACATCCTCTTATTGCAAGTTTAATACTTTCAGGTATGAATATGGCAATTCCTGGAGGACCAATGGAAATTTGTTTTTCATTTGACACAACTGGCTCGATGGGTGCATGTATCAACGAGGTAAAAGGCAAAGTTCAGGATCTAATACAACGTCTCCAAGCTGACATCCCTGGCATCCGAATGGCTGTCTTTGCACATGGCGACTATTGTGACAAACACAATTATATCACGAAACACATTGACTTTTCAACAGATGTAACTAAATTGTGTAACTGGGTGAAAACTGTGGGTACAACCGGAGGAGGAGACGGAGATGAATGTTATGAACTTGTATTACAGGAGGTTCAGTCTTTGTCATGGACTCCAGGATCAAAGCGAGCATTGGTGATGATTGGAGATGCTGATCCACATGAACCGGGATATAATTATGGCGGGAAAACATACAACATTGATTGGAGGGATGAAACCTACAAACTTCTAATGATGGTAAAAAGATATTCATTGTTTCAATATCTGTTATCTCTGTTTTCATAATTCTAAACTAATGATATATTATGTTATATTATACAGTAATGTCGCTGTAAATAAGTGAACATGCTGTTAATGTTATATTTGATTCGTAACATGAATTTATTTATATACTTACATATATATTTCTTTTTTTTTACAGAATATCAGAATATATGGAGTACAATGTGGTTATTATGGTTCATCAAAAGATTTCTATAACAAAATGACACAAGCTACTGATGGAAAATGTCTAAAACTTGCAGACTTTGCAAACATGTTTGATTTTATGATGGCCATATGTTACAGAGAACATGATGAAACTCTTTTACAGGTAGATATAATGTTATCTTATTGCATTTAAATCCAGGTTGTCTTCTTTTTCTGTCTGGTTTTTCTTATAATTGTAATCATAACGAGGATATGAAGTAATTTGGAAAGAAAATCGATTGAATTACTCAAGCTACAAAAATGATGGAAATTTGCTTTTATCTGTGATGTAATGTATACTTATTTGTAACAAATACTAACGACTTGGATTTCCCCTTTTTCTTATAGAATTATGAAACAGAAGTTCGAGCTAGAGGGACCACCATAAACAAAGACTTAGAAGCTTTATTTGGTAAACTACGACGTGCAGATACAGAAGTTATGGATACAAGTCCATCAGTCCCGACTGCTCTAACCAAAATACCGTCACTGACAAAGCCATCATCAGTTAAAATGCTGAAACCAAGTCTAAAGACAACAGTTAAGACCACAAGAAAACCACGTACAACACGGTTCAGATCTAAACACGAACGATTGCTGGATAGACGAAATGAGGAACGTTTGGAAAAATACAAGGTAAATACACTTATGATACATTAATTGTGTTCCCTTGTATAATAAATATAAGGTTTAGTATAAGAAACAATCTTTTTGTGACCTATAATTGCTTAAATCCACGTAATTTGGACTCTGTCGGATAGATGTTCAGACCTTTTGTTCTTTTCTTTTAAGCTCATTCTTGCGTAGTGGTCTCTGATTGGTTTCATTTTAAACTTATAAAACTCTTTCTCTTTTTGTATTTTTTTGTGCTTATTCGTTCACTTTAAGAAAAATATTTCTTGCCAAAATATTTTCTTGTTTTAAGTTATTCTCTGAAATGTAATCTCGTCTGTCAGCAAAATTCATTGAGGGAAAGAAAAAAACCCAACAGAAACAGTTAGCTCAAGTTAGTTTATCTTACATTATAAACCTCTCTCCCTCTCTCTCTCTCTCTCTCTCTCGTAATTTATTGATAAATTCGCTCGCTTAAAAAAAATGTTTCAAAGCAGTATATTTTCTTCTTGATAGTTAAAAAATCTGCCGAAACTGAAAAGAGAAAACGTTCCCGAAACAAACTTCATGCTTAATGATGCTCCTTGGTCTAAATGGCAGCTAGCAGTAACACAAACCCTGCCGGAAGGAACAGAATCTGACTTGTGGGAAAAAAGGCGAGGTGATTTAACTGGCTTCCGAAGGAAAGAAATATGTGATGGACAATATCAGAAACCTGCACTATATGAATTCGCTGTACAAACAGCTGAACATTGCAAGCGATATGTTGTGTACTGTAAATGTAACAAAGGTTTCATGTTGGACAAAGGATCATGGGAATCTCGTTTATTGAATACACCAAACGTGAGAACTGAAGTAGAAGATGTGCTCAAGAAAGGTTTCCGTTTATTTGTAAGACGTTTCCCATTAAAGAAAACATGTGCAACATCAAACAAGATGACCGATCTTGGTCACTATGATTACGCTTGGAGAGGTCAGCGAAAAGAAAGAACATCTCCTCGTTTTGTGGAATACAAACTCTGACCATTTGTAAATAAAACTCATTTCATTATATGTATTGAAAAATATTTGATCAAGAACTATGCATGTATGTGAAACTAATATGTTATTATTTATTTTGTTTGTTACAATTGTTGTTGAATAAAAATGTAAAATTAAATTAGTGTTTATAAGCTTGAAAGGATTCCATTACGACAAGAAACATCTGCATGCAAAAACTAGAAAAAGGGTAACAAATTTTAAATTGTTTACTGCGTTGAAAACATGTGCAACATCAAACAAGATGACCGATCTTGGTCACTATGATTACGCTTGGAGAGGTCAGCGAAAAGAAAGAACATCTCCTCGTGTTGTGGAATAGTGACAAACTCTGACCTGACAAGAGAAAGAGCGCCATTTGTAAATAATACTCATTTCATTATAATTTTTATGTTTAATTAATATTTGATAATGCAGGTTATACATGTATTGATCTGTTGATATTTATGTCGTTTTTTACAATTGTTGTTGAATAAAACAAATATTGAAATAACTTAGTGTCAATATACTTAAAAAAAATTGAAAACAACACGTTATTAATTTCATTCGTCCGAAGCGCTTTTCTGTATTTACTTTCATCAGAAACGCTCACAGCCGAATATTTGAAAGCCAAGGATGTATAAGAACCGAAACAGTTGAAGAGTTATATAACCAAAAAGGACATAAAAAATGATCTGAAAGGAAATATATTGTACGAAAGTGACTAATGTTTTAAATCGTTTACTTCGTTTGAAAATACCAGATAGTACAGGAAAGCAAATCCACTTCATTCTCCAAAGGAACACCCACACTGTTAATTAATATATTTTTTTAAATATTTAAAGAGAATTCTACCAAAGTTATGATTTCTATTTTTCAAATCCCAATTGTTTTTCTGATAAATGTATCCTGTTTCTTACGGTGCAATTCAGAAACTGATGTTTGCTGAATATGTGTCCAAAAACCCAATCGCACAGTCTAATCATTTCAACTAAAATTTCAAAATTGCAAAAGGAAACGCAAAATGGTGTCAATAAATAGCATTCTGCATCATAAATAACATGATGGCTATTACAACCTTATATCTCTGTTCCTTTACACAGATTTTGAATATTCTTTCTTTTATCTCCTCATTTTTTTTCGATTGGGTACCTGTGACAAACAGAACACCAACCCTAGTAGTAAACATATGCAAATTTTACCAATATAGATCGGAGTTATGCCGCTTTGTCCGACGAATATCACTTTAAGCAATTAAAACTGACGAAAAATGGAAAATCAAACATATTTTTTAATTTTTTGGCGCCTCAATCTGCCTCAACATATTTATAAAAAAATTGTTAGAACATGATACAAGATTTATCCTGAAGGATGATTCTTTTTGCGAGGAGCAGAATCTTTCAAAACTCACATCAAACACACGTGAATCGGCAAAAAGTTAGATACAATTTTCTATTAAGATGCCTACACCAGAAACTTAGTATGTTTGTATTTGTTTGATATTTTTCATGCGTGCCCATTTGGTAATTAAACTTTGTCCTATCAGTTGAAAAATGATTGGTGTATAAATATGTTTTTTCTTTCAGAATCAATAAATACTGTCTTTCTTCCACGATTGATTACCTTTTCTTTCACTACGTTGTGTTTTGAGATTGTCGAATTTCAAACGAAAGGAAAGATGTCTGCAAAATAGAGTACGGGAAGACAATAATTAAATAGCAGTACATTTCTGAAGATTTAGATAAAATATAGGATTCCCAAGTCCATGTGCACGTGTTTTATAGTAAAACTAAGCAATTCAACTATATAAAAATATAAAAAAAAAATTCTTACGGTAATAGTTACTGATACCTGTCAGAAATATATATACAGTTTTCTAAGGAATGTGTCATTGTTAAAATAAATATTTATATTTAATTTCGTTTCTCCATGTAACAGATTTAATAAATATATGGCCTCAAGGAAAAAAATAAATTATCTTGGCGAAAAAATAAATATGTGCCCTCAAGGAAAAAACTAAATTATCTTGACGAAAATTAACAATTATAGTTCAAAATTTCAGCAACAGATAACCTACTCATAAAGCTACGCCCCCTTACAAAGGAGAGAACTTTTGAAAACGATTTCGTTTACATAAGTCTCCTTTGTGGCGTCGAATCAAACCGGCAACAAATTCGAAAAATACCAATGAAGATATGATAGCAACCAAACTACACGTTATATACCAACAGCACATACAATTGATTGCCAATGAGACAACTCTCCACAAGAGACCAAATGCCACAGAAGTTTACAACTATAGGTCAACGTACGGCCTTCAACAATGAGTAAAACCCATACCGTATAGTCAGCTATGAAAGGCCCCGAAATGACAAATGTAAAACAATTCAAACGAGAAAACTAACGGCCTGGTGTATGTACAAAATAATGAACGAAAAACAAATATGATATACAGCAACAAACGACAACCACTGAATGACAGGCTCCTGACTTGGGACAGGCACATACAGAATTTATATCTATGGAAGAATTTAGTAAAGGTTTTAAGTAATTTGTGGTAACGATATCCCTGACTTATTAATTTAGTAGTATGATTACCAATGGGACAACTATTCACCAGAGTTTACATCACGAAGAAATTGTATTGTTATTGTTTTTTGTTATTTTTATGCTTTTTATTCTTTGGTGACATGAATACTAGTTTTTTGCTTAAAAAGTGCTGCTGTGTCGCTCAATCTCTCTAGTTTCTCAACTGCTTTACTTAAAATAAGTGTGATTCTTCGTGATTTGGAAGTTTAATAAAAAAAAATACATCCTGATTATATGCCTTTGTATAATTTATGGTTCAGAGCATCATCGTAGAAGTATGAAGAATAGCTTCTATATTATATATGTAAATATATTTGCTAAAATTTATTTATATCTTGCCCAAAGATTGATCAGAACCGATTGAAATGTCCAATGAATTCTAGAAGTATAATTTTGGGGGGAGGGGGAAAGGGGGGGTGATAACACTGGTTAAACTAATCAGATAATGGAACAAAACGGTAACTTCTTTTAAACTACAATGTAAACGGAAGAATCTTAGTCACACCTTCAATTGAAGATTTTAAAGTATTGAAATTGTGGAAACTGCTCGGATTTAAGACTCTGAACTCCACGTTTGTTTCATTTACGGGCGTGATGGAAGAATCTGAACTTAGTTTGGTTTCGTATAAGTCATTCATTTTATGTAATTAACTGATTGCTTCTAAAGGACTATCATTGCTTGCTAGTAAGCACCTTTTTTGTTTATCTTATCAATGTTCTAAAATTAATTTTTAACTGTTATGAATTCTATCTTTCTATCTTACTGGGACTTTGTTTTTTATTTGGCCTTCCAACTGTTTTCATTCGAGCGCCAATGACGAGTATTATGCAGAGGAAACGCGCATCTGACGTACCAAATTCTAGTGAATTTGACAATGACGTCTTACTTTCTTTTAATATTTCATGTTTTTTTTTAATTTATGTATATATCTGTATCGTTCATATGCCTTTAACCCCTCGGGGTAAAAATGTCCATTTTTTTGATAGATATCAATGAATAGATATTGTGGTATTTGATAAATTCTTCATTTGGCCCCTTAAAAAACTTTAAAAAAGCGTATAAATGTGCATGACTGTATGCGTGGTTCTTACCATATCGTACAGTTTAGAGATGCCTTTTTAAACAACACATTAGATTAATAGTTATGGCGTACTCCATTTTTCGTATTATAGGCAATGTAGTCTGTCGACTTCATGAATACAGTGTACAACGTAAAATATACTGAGATATAAAGACATATAATTATAGTGTAATTTGGCAAAATTATCTACGTATTATAACAAGAATGTAACTTTTCTTCAATATTTATATTATTGGTATTCAAAAAGCAAGAAGAGCTTCATGTGAAATGTGCTACTTCTGCATTTAATCATACTGCAAATACACAAATACGTCTTTTGTCAGTTTTTGTCGTTGTGTTTTTGTCTCTTATTGACCAAAACCCAAAATATATTCATGTAAAATGAAAAATGTCCGAGTTTTGTCACTTAGTTTGTGAAACGTGCGTCTGTTGATGAATCCGAGCTTTGCTAGGAGTAAGATTAATTAGACTGATTGTCTCGGGGTCAGAATATTTGTACTGGTGTGGAGACATAGTTATCTTCCTTATTTTGTGAACTAGAACCTTGAAAATCCGACTTAGCTTGTAGGTGTTGTACAAAGCAGGGTTCAACATCAAATCACATTTAATTTAACATGTTATTGTCCTGAATGTGTATTTATTTGCCACTGGATGTTACCCATCCATCCATCCAGATTATCTGAAGTATACAAAATAAAAAGAATTCATAGTGTGATCGGAATAGATAGGTAAACATCTACTCATGTATGACGATGATGATGAATGGCTGCTTAACGTCCAGCGGCAAATTAATATGCATATTCAGGCCAAGAACATGTTAATGTAACATGAATATTAACCCTGCTTTGTACTAGACCGACACGCTGAGCCGGATTTTTAAAGTGCTAGTTCACAAGGTAACAGTCCGCAAGGAAGACATATCACCTTACCCGGAGACATTATTCTGACTCCGAGTCGACCAGTCTTTGCTCTTACTCCTTAATGCCGCGTGCTTAGCAGAGAAGCAGCAAATACCAATTTTAAAGTCTTTGGTTTGACCCAGTCGGGGTTCGAACCCACGATCCCCCGCACTCGAGTCGAAGACGCTACCACGAGACCACCGAGGCGGTTCCCTACTCATGGAAAGGACAGGCAAAATGAAGACTTTAAATGATTGACGAGAACAAAGAATTCAGAACAATTCAAGTATAAGCTTTAATCTTTGCAGTTGGGCATACGTGCGCATAAGACTGAGTGATTGCTCTCGAATCAAGCATTTGGACGGCAAACTCAATTACAAATTTGAGGATGTTGAACTCTATACCACCGAACTTGTAAAAAAGGATACCAAGATACAGTAACTTCTGTCTCATAACTTGACTAACATCTAGAGATTAACAACGAGGGTCAGTTGAGAATTAAACTTTAAAACAAAAGAGATGACTTCAGCTTTCCGATTGTGAACTTTCAATTTATATGCAGCAACATTCCA